CAAACTCGACGACAAATCACTCATTTTGTCCAATGAGTCACCTCTGTATAGCAAATCTTCAATGTTTTTAGTCATGACCTTCTTGACATCTGCTAGGTCGTTATTCAACTTGTCCAAGTTGGATTGCGCTCTTTGATCCTGGTAAATCTTCTTCGTCTTGCTCAAAAAGTTATCGAACGAACTGAACCCAAACGGTCTGGCACTATTGCTCAATGCCTCTTGACCGTGGGAATTCCAGAACTCATGCGAGATTTCCGATAGATACGAAAACGCTAATTTTCTAGGATATGATTTATCGCAAATGCTCAAGTATATTATCGAATTATCTATCAAGTAGTGAATGTTATACTGTCCCGACTCAATTGTGGCCTGTGGTTCGGAATTGGGCGTGATTCTACTGATAAGAATCTTGCATTTCTTCTTCTGGTCCATTAACGATGGATCGTTATTATCGTCGACTGATCCGCATAATGGAAGTGCTAGTGGTATTTGTTAGTCTCTAATTTTATATCCTAGTTCTTTTTTCCATTTCTATTCCATACATACCATCGTATCTGTAGATTAATGTAGATTTCACCATTCTTAGTTCTTGATGTACCTCAGCAATAGTCTCTTCTTGAATACTACTAGCTTAGGTGTTTTTTGTAAATCCATATAGACATCACGTGTACATTCTAATTCTGATCATCATCAAAAAAGCTGTTACAAAAATTCTCTCCTTGTGTTTTGTTAGTGATACGCCTGAAGGGATATAATAAGCAAGATATATTGTAAAATAGAAGACAATCTAAAGACCGAACGTAACAGAAAATATTCATCAGTAAAATAAAAGGCTAAAATATTTGAAATATGGATTTATCCAACTTATCGTCAGATCTTCCACCAACAAAGCCTGTGAACCAAGCATCAATTAATGAGTTGAATAGGGAGTTAACGACTGAATTTAAGAATGCAGCAAAGTCTGTGGTGTCATTGTATAATTCATCGACGTCTGGTACTGCAAACAACTCTAAACATAAGGTAGAATTTGCTAATGCCGCCAAGTCCGTCGCAGCGTTGTATCGGTTAACAAATAATGGAAACGGATTGCATCGTCATATGGGGTACTTGGAGTGTCTAGATGATCTACTTGGAGTGATTACAAATGGAGAAGATATCGAGAACTGGGCATTGACAAAGCGGGCGGAAATTACGAATATCAATCATGGACAAGGTGATAGCAATACGAATGTGAATGTGTCGAATCAAGAGCAGAAGGATGGCAAGGAAAGTAAGGAGACACCGCAAGGTGCGGATGAGGAATTGCATATTCCTTTGGATTATGCTTTTTCTTTTTCACTGGATTTGGGTCCGGGATATCATTTTAGACCCAGCTTTCCTCCATTATCAGTTACTCATTCTTATAAACAAAGAGCAAACTTCAAGCAATTGAAGTCATCGGATCATATTGCAAGAATGAGAATGCATCAGAAACAAAAACAATCACAATCACAACAACTGCAATATCAATCTCTGGAAGACCTTTGTAGTACGTCGGATGAGGGTGATAGCGATTCAACCGACAGAGATCACGATGAAATCGACGCCGTAACTTTAAAAAAGAAAAAGTCGTTAGAAAAAGATAGTGACGTTAAAAGAAGAAGACTTAATGGACAAAATGAGGCTACAGTAAATTCGCCTAAAAAATGAGGTCTACCTCCAACTTGCATACATGTATAATATTATTATTACATAGTTTTCATTCATCTAGTTAGGATTATGGGGTACATATATAGATAAGGCTTGGTAAATATACAATCGATAAGTATTAAAGTAAGATAACCAAAGAATGTTTATTGATAACTTCAATGAGCAAATAATCCATCTGAATTATCATCGTATTCATCATAATCGTCATAGCTGTAGTCACTTCCAGAGTCATTGTCAGAATCAGATTCATCGGAATCAACTGCAAACTCTTCTTCATCATCCTCAACAATACCTTCCAAAGAGAGACATAGCAAAGTATCACCCTTTGAATGAGTACCCTTTGCAACCTCGAGACTCGATTCAACGTTACAATTGGTTAATCTCAGCTTGGAACGTATGATAACACCATTTCCTAATATACAATTTTCAAGCTGAACGTCATCTTCGATCGTGGTGTTATTTAAAATGAGACAACCCGTTAATTTAACTCTCTTTCCAATATTACAAGAAGAACCAACAATGGTTCTCTTGACATTTGTCTTTTCTCCAACAGAAGTATTCTCTCCAATCAAACAATCTATTCCAATATTAGCAGATGCCTTATCCTTAGGATGAGATGTCTGTTGCTGATGCTGACCCTTGGCCATAGCTTGCAATTTCATAAAATGTCTGTTGGCTTCCATCAATACTGGTGTATTATTAACCCTGAAAAAAGTAGCCTGATCAGGTAAAATGCAAAATCCCACAGTATCTTTGGGATCCGAGTGTTTCCAAGATCTTCTGGATAAATCACGGATAACCTTAGTGATCGATCTATCGTGAAAATACGATTCTGTGCATTTGTCTTCCTGGTCAAATACGGCGAATATCCGGTCCACTGATCCAAAGAAAACTGAGCCGTTCAATAACTTGGTACTAATTGTCGAATTAGGAAATTTCCAACACACCTGGGTTCTTATTTGTAACGTCTTGTGGAAATCAATATCCTCCTTGGAATAGATGTCCAAGAGCTGACATTGGCCGTCTGGCAAGTCAGAATAAACCGTATAGTTTTTAGGAAAAATCTTCGATTTCTTATCTTCTATATCAAGCTGATTTCTATAATAAACCATCAACCCAAGGTCCGATTCGTTTCTGTTTCTGTACGCCTCGATCAATACTTGTGGAGGCAAGTTGGTTATGAAATCACACGGCAAGATCACAAAATGTGGATTCGTTTTCAACGCCGATGTCTTATACAAATGGTACAATACCTCACCACTAGAGCTGCTGTCAAGCCCCAAGATCTCCACCGACCGTGAGAACGAGCCGTCGTCATCATCACCGTCCGCATCCTCCTTAGCCTTTTCCTTTTTACTCTTTTCGCTATTGTATTGATCCAACGCCCTTTGTACTTGTTCGCTAGAATCAATGTCACACACCACTGTCACTTTTGGAAAAAATGCCTTTTCACACCATTCCAATACATAATCAATCATAGGTCTGTTCGCAATCGGTAATAGCGCCTTGTGCATCCCCGTAGATCTCACCTGAGAAAATGGAGACAAGGCTTTACCCGATCCACACAAGATGACTGCATGAAATTCCATCGTTTATAATCCTTAACTACGATATACAGCTCCCAATGGTCCTTTCTTCTTAACACTATAGCTTAACATTCATAAATTTTTCTCTTCAAACTTTTCACGTGAGGTAAATTTGGTAGTGCGACGAAATACAAAAACCTTCAACTATGTTTGCCACTGCTTAGGGTATAGAAGAGATAGAAACAGGTTTTTAGAGTGTAATAAAGGTTAAAACAGACCAATTAATATCACAACTTATACCATTGTAATAGAATCTCAATAATATCGTCTACAAACATCGATAATAATGAGTGCCGAAGAAAATGATCCACTTTTGACCGCATTGAATGCTGATGGACAACAAAACGATACAACGGCGGAATCGGCCGATCCTGAGAGAGAAAGAGCAATGTCCAAGTTCAAGGATAAGTTGATTGAGCATAGGAAGTGGGATGCTAGATTAAAGGAGTTAAGATTGAGCATACGAGACTTGGACTCAGATTATGATAAGACAGAGAACGATATAAAAGCGTTGCAATCGGTCGGGCAAATTATTGGGGAAGTATTGAAGCAATTAGACGACGAGAGGTTCATTGTGAAGGCGTCAAGCGGACCTCGTTATATTGTTGGGTGTCGTAACACTATTAAGAAGGAGAGCTTGAAAAACGGGGTGAGAGTGTCGTTGGACATGACTACCTTGACGATTATGAGAATCTTACCTAGAGAAGTCGATCCTTTGGTCTATAATATGACAACATTCGAACCGGGTGAAATTTCGTTCAATGGAATTGGTGGTTTGACCGACCAGATCAGAGAGTTGCGTGAGGTCATTGAATTGCCATTGAAGAATCCAGAATTGTTCACAAGAGTGGGTATTAAATCACCAAAGGGTGTGTTATTATATGGACCTCCAGGTACAGGTAAAACATTGTTGGCAAAGGCGGTTGCTGCTACAATTGGTGCTAACTTTATATTCTCGCCTGCATCAGCAATTGTCGATAAGTATATTGGTGAATCTGCGAGATTGATTAGAGAAATGTTTGCATACGCTAAGGAGCACGAACCTTGTATTATTTTCATGGATGAAGTTGATGCCATTGGTGGTCGTAGATTCAGTGAGGGTACCTCGGCTGATCGTGAAATTCAAAGAACGTTGATGGAATTATTGAATCAAATGGATGGATTTGACACGCTTGGTCAAACCAAGGTTATTATGGCCACCAATAGACCAGATACATTAGATCCTGCATTGTTGAGAGCTGGAAGACTTGACAGAAAAATTGAAATCGGCTTGCCTAATGAAGCCGGTAGATTGGAAATTTTCAAGATTCATACTGCTAAAGTCGCTAAGCAAGGTGAGTTTGATTTTGAAGCTGTGGTCAAAATGAGTGATGGATTTAATGGTGCAGATATTAGAAATGTCATTACTGAAGCTGGTTTCTTCGCTATCAGAGAGGAAAGAGATTATATTCTTCAAAACGACTTAATGAAGGCGGCTAGAAAGGTTGCAGATGTGAAGAAATTAGAAGGTAAAATAGATTACGAAAAGTTATAGGTTAATATGTCATGTATCTATTTAAGCAGTTTGTGACAATTATAATATACATAATGATCAATTAACGATCACTACGAAATTTCTTAAATTTATAGTAGTTTCTTTAGATGAGTATATACATGAAAATCCTATGTTATATAGTAGTTACATACAAATATTTTGTATTGTGTTGGAAATTAATGAAGAGGTTTTTAAATTGCTTGATTGTGAAGTTTCTTTTGCTTCTCGTGTTCAGCGTCTTCAATATTCTTCATAGTTTTAGCAAAGTCTGGAATCTTGGATTCAGATAAGGCATCCAAGTGAGCAAGTAAGGAAGGATTATCAATCTTGTTGATGTGATCAGCCATTCTGGAACCAATGAAATCTTGTATTTCTTCAGACAACTTCTTGTACACCTTCTTAGGCTCAGTTGCTTTCTTAGCCAAGTAAATCTTTTGTTCATCTGATAATGGCATATCTGGGGCATTAACCTTTCTGGCTTGAGCCTCACTGAGCACACGCTTCTTATGTTTCGAGTATGGGTTTCTTAATTGTAATAATGCGTCAGTTGGTACTGGTGGTTTAGCAATAGACTGTAACTCATAAGTTCTTTCAAAAGCTGCTTGTTGGCTTGTAGATAAATGATCATCCTTAGGCTCTTGTGGAGGGTTTGGCCATGGTATTTCTATAGAATCATGATGCTTCACGAATCTCTTTGGTAACCATCTCCTGTATCTTTCGTCATAATATTTTTCTTTGTAAACAACGTCGTCAGCGACAACGTAGTAAACCTTTCCATTCTCGTCTTTGTCTTTGGCAGCAAGTTTTATATGATCACGCTTGACATATTCTGGGTAGTCAATGAGATGACTCGACTGGTGCTCAACCCAGTTTTGTTTTGGAAGAAGCTTTTTGGAAGTGACATCTGCCAATAAAAATGAGTTCATTTCTGGAGAATATTGGAAAATGGTAGAAACTATTCCCTTCTTTTCTCCTTCAGTAATATACGCAAGGTCACCATTAGCAATTCCGATCTGTTCAAGCTTGGTTTTTCTTTCCCACTTTGCAAGAGGCCATTCCTTGGTCTCGAAGGTTGGCAAGGTGTATTTATTGGTCTTTGCTAAATAAACATCACGAAGAGCCTTAGGGTAATTTTCGACTTCCCTTTGAAATCTCTTTTTAGCCGTATTCCAAGACATATCTGATCTATATTAAACGTTTAACAACTGTTGATCTTCTTAATACACCGATGAAAAAGTGAAAATTTAACGAATTTTTGAAAAATTCCGCTCTCGACTATATACAGGACTATATACTTACTAGTCAGGTAGAACCAAGAGACATGGGCCAGTACTTAAGATATGATCTCTTGTTTTCTCTACGAGTAATGGGCATTTATGTAAACAAATTAATATATTAATATACAAAATTGAAGGTTATTCGTATAAAACCTCCAGACTCAACGCAAATCACTGGTAAGAGTGCTATTTATACTATTCCGTACAGATATTAATGAATTCCTGTTCATTGACTATGGTAAAATGTTAGTATTCTTGTTCATCATTCTAGACATGCGTGCTTCGGTAATTCGTATTATACATACTCTCTCCATCTTCATCTAGATCAAATTCGTCAATCATAGCTCTCAATTCGTCATCGGTTAAATTCTCTCCTAATTCCTTGGCCACTCTTCTTAAGTTTCTTAAACTGATTTTCCCGGTACCATCGTCGTCGAATAACTTGAAGGCTCTGCGTATTTCGTCCAATGGGTCCCTATTCACAATTTTTTCGCCGACTATAAAAAAAAAAGTTAGTATCCCTCCAAATGTAAATCAATGACCTTCAATAGTCCGTAAACTATAAATGCCAAATTCTACTACCTCAAATATACATACCTGCCTGGAAAAAGTTTTCGTACGTAATTAAATTCCTGTCATCTGTGTCATATTCGTGGATAATATCCAACACCTCTCTTTTTGATAATTCAAAACCTAAGGCTCTGAACGCCACTTTTAACTCATGGTAATCCAAACATCCATCGTTGTTCATATCAAAAAGAGAGAACGCTTCCCTTATTTCTTGTTTCTGTTCGTTTAACAACTCAAGTTTTAAGTTACCCAATGCTCGTTTCTGGTTATTAGAAGCATTTCCCGGGGTAGATATTGATGTATTGCTTTGATGTGACATTCCTGGATTATTCGGATATTGTTCGTGGGCTTGTTTCCTATTAATAAAGGACATATAGTATCACTCTGACGATAAATGTATTAGTTTTAGTGCTTGTTTATCAACATCGTTTGATTCTCGCGTAGATCGAGATCGCGTAGAAAATCCACAAATAATCTGTTAAGTATGTATAATTAAATAGCTTCGGTTATTCCTGCAACTCATGGAAGAATTGTCAATAAACCAAACGGTTTTTGTTAAAGATGAGCCAGGGGTTATACGGTATATTGGGCAAACTCAATTCGCCTCAGGAACATGGATTGGAGTTGAGCTTCAACTGGCCCATGGGAAGAATAATGGGTCAGTGAACGATATACGCTATTTTGAATGTGATAAAAAGGATGGAAACTACGGAGTATTTGTTAGACAGTCTTTAATAAGTTCGAATTCGTTGCAAAGCTCGAAATCCATGGATACACTGAATCTTGAAAATATTATCAATAAGTTGCAGGATAAGGTTAGAAATGCCAATGAAGAGACCAAGGAGCTCAAGAGGAAAATTGAACAACTTAAAGAAGAAGTAACACAACATCAAAATGCCACTCAATCCGTAGAATCCAAATTGGAGATGGTGACAACAGACAAAGAATTTCTTGAGGAGTCGAATCACATCGTAAATCGAGCATTGGATGAGTTGCAACTGAAATACGAGGACTTGAGGACGGATTTTCAAATCATGCTGGAAGAAGTAGAATTAAATAAGCAAATTGAACAGGAAATAATAGCTCTGATGGAACATTCGAATGCCAATGAAATAGATATCCAAGTTATTCTCCAGCGAAACAAACTGTTGGAGATTGCCCTTACAAGTCTTCAAAAATTAGCGGATGAAAATGAATTGAGTCTTAAGAAAGAAATTCAGGACTTAAATCACAGACTAGTTCTAAATGAAAAAGAAATTGGATCTCACGATCAGCTTCTTCGGAACATATCGGTTGCCCAAGAGACAATTGACTCATTACAAAGTCAGTTGGATTCGGCATTGCAACTGGAAAAGATGATTGAGCATTTAAACATAGAGAACGATAGTCTTAATTCGAAAGTATCGAGCCTTACGAAAACTGTCGACGAATTGACCGAATTGCATGAATTAGATAAGAGTCTCGAAGAAAACCAAGCACTAGTTGAAAAAGAGTTGCGAAAGGATATTTATAACTTAACCTCTAAAATAAAGAATAATGAAACTATGATTCAGGATCTTAATCGAAGGAATAAGTATATGGAGTCAAAGATTTCCGAATACAAAAGTAGATCCAATAATAATATAGGCAATGATGAGAATTTAGAAGAATTGCAAATGCAATTAGAAGCATTACAACTTGAGTTCAGAAAGACTCAAGCTTCCAATGAATCTTACAGAATAACACATGATTTGATTAATTCAAAACTAGAGATATTACAGGAAAACATGCACTTACCAGATGCCACATTTAAGACAGTTCTTAAAATTCTTCTTTCAATAAAGATAGTTGTATCCTCAATATCTGTTATAAATAATCTCGTTACAATGGCTATCGAGAAGGATGATACGTATAAGAAAAGCATATTATTTACTGTCACCAATCGTTTCTATACTTTGAAGAGCTTTTTACAAAATGTGTCTGCTTTATGGGAATTTAATTATGGTCATGAAACGTACAAGTCTATGGAAGATAAATTTTATAAGATGGTCTCTGATTTACAATTAGCGATAGATAATTCTACAACATATTTGAAGGAAGGAGATTATGAAGGCATTAATACGGATTATATTCACGACTTTTTATTAGAAACTACTGGGCTAATGGATTTGAAATTTTTGGAAGAAGAGGAGACAAGCATATCTTTCCAAAACGCTTTTTGTTCCAAATTTTTATTAGAGTCATTTCAAAATGAAGCTAGCATATGCATCAAAATCGTTAATATTCTCAAAGGTTTTCTTGCTACTTCTCATGGTGTAGAAGAAGAGAATATACCATATACTGTGCAATTAGATAACATATATGCCACAAGCTCGAGACAGGAAACAGAATTTGACCAACTTATACATAAGCTCCATGGTGCATTTGGTAATGGCAAAAGTATAAATATTTCAATGCTGTCAATGCCGCATTTTTCCTCGTCATTAGCAGAACTCTACTCTCCTATTGATTTATTGCTGAATATTTTAGCACAAGTCGAGGTAGAAAGTCGGTTAAACAAGAGATCTGTTTCCATTGATGCACTGTTAGTGAAGAATATCCTTGGGGATAAAGAAGTTGGATCTGACCCAATATTCACCTCGTTACTAGAAATTTTAAAGCGAAGAGATTATTTTATGGAGTTGCAAGTGATAGATAATCATCGTATGCTTCCAAGCATATATTCTTTGATCGATGATAATCACATAGCATTGGATGTAAGCACAACAAAGAATGATGCGGAAGAAGAGCTCAAATTAATAAAACCAAAGTATGCTGGAATATCTACTAAACTCTTTGAAAAGGAAAAAGTCATTCAAGAATTGCAGCTAAATATAAAGTTTTTACAAAATAGTATGGAATCAACTTCTGTTAAGAATAAAGAGTACATTCAGAATATTAAAATTGAACTCGACCAAATAAAGGATAAGAATGAAGAATCAAATCAGAAATATCAAGAACTATTGGAAGCTAATCAAAAATTAGAATTAGAAATGGAAGAGTTACTTGGATCCCCTCTGATTACAGAAGGCGGGAATAATTTCAAAAAGTTCGCCAATTTAGAAACCGAAAATCAGTACAATGCAAACATGGTTTTGCTTGATGAAATTATGGTCCTAAGAAAGCTATTGAAGTATAATTCTACTTACCAGGAGAGCAGAAAAGATCCAAGCCTAGATTGGTTAGGAAAACCACTAGTAACCAAGCTTAGGACGAAAAATTCATTAGATATTGCATTAGAGTTTGAACGAAATTCTTCAAATCTAAGAGATATCTCAAAAACTACAAAACTTGTTAACATTTCTAATAATTCCACACTATGGAGACCTAAAGCTAGTATACCAAAGTATATGGCTTTGATGCTAGAAGAAAAAGCTACTAATTACTATGAACAGAGGAATCTTACGCTCTCTTAATTGTCGTCATTATCATCATTAAATTAATATATATTATTTACAGTAATCAGCTGCCCTTGTATCAGTTATTTCTTTATCGTACGAGCTCACTTCCTTAGTCTTTTTGGGCCATTTTGTTGCTTTATCAATATGATCGGCTGGATAAAAGTATTCCAACATTAAATAAAATACAATATCCAAGACAACACACAAGACAAACAATTTACCAGCAATTAAACCACAGCAATGATATTTCTGTAATCTTTGTACCAATGGCTGATTTAATTTTTTTAAATCTAAAGAATTGTAAACATTTTCAGTTCTACATGCGATATTCTTCCAACTATACATTCTTGATACCTCATCAAAAAACGTCGATGTGTCAATATCACCAGATTCAATCAAGTTCACTGCCTTTAATGTTGCTGAAACCAAAGAATTTTCCTCGGGATCAGCAAAGCTTGTCATATGGCTAGGCAAAACTTCAGGTATTCCACCAACTTTCGTAGTAACTACAAACAACCCACATGAAGCAGCTTCCACAATCACAGTACCAAACGCTTCAGTTAGAGAAGGATGTAAGTATATATCGCCTTGTACCATTACGTCTCTAACTTCCTCATGCTTTACGGCTCCGATTAACGTAACTCTTTCTTGTAAGTAATACTTTTCACGCATTTGTTCCAAATCAAGAAACTTTGGTCCATCCCCTGCAATCAAAAACCTTACTTCTGGTTTCTGTGCACAAATAGTAGGAATAATTGCAGTTAGGAGATCAGCACCCTTATTTGGGAACAATCTAGATATCACCACAATTGTAATATTCTTTCTTAACGATTTCTTTTCTGGTTCTAACGGTGAAAAGTCTTTTGCAATAACAGCATTAGGTATTACTGAGACATTTAAAGGATCTAAAGATGCTCGTAATACGGTGTTCTCTTTACATGTATGTGACACACAGATAACATGTCCCACGTCACTTAATGTAAATTTTAACAATTTATTCCCCACAACTGATGTAATGTTTGCAAATCCGTACAAAGAATGATCCGTGAACACGGTCTTTAATCCCATTGTACGTGCATGAAGAATTGCTTCACCACAAATAGTTGATAATGATCCATGTCCATGTACAATATCAATCTGCTCCCGGATAAAAATATTTCGTATTATTGGCAATATCAGAAATACAGTTGGAATAGCTGAACTTCTGTAAACAACATAAAAAGGAACATAATATACTTTCAATCCATTAGTTAAAGTTCGTATTCCATTTCTTGACCCATAGTCATGAGTAATGATTATGACTGAATGACCCATATCTATTAGTTTTTGAGATAAATGATACACATGAAATTCCACACCCCCAGGCTGAGGGTAAAAGAAGTCACTGATCATTGCAATATTATACCCCATTATATACTCTCTATTATCTAATATACCATTGATAGCCACTGGATCAAAAAAATTCTACTATTTTACATTCATTTTCGCTCGCGATGTACGGCTACAGCCAGACATAATCAATATCGTAAATTGTTAATAACACGATGACAAAGAACTTTGTATGGAACAGAAGCATAGAGATCAATTACAAATGGTCAAGAAGCTAAGTAATTCTAAAATAACCGACGATGAAACTGTAAACTATAATTTATTGATATACATTCTATTCAAGCTATATACGCATCTCTCGGTAAAGATGCAACTGAGTTTTTGAAATTTATAGTACATTGCTGATAATCCCAATTACTTTGTTCACAGAGCATAATACCATACTGAAGATTTAATTTGGTTTCTAACAATATCTTTACCAAGATGTCCTGTTGTATTGGGTTCAAATTTGCTTTCACTTCATCAGGTAAATCAGCGGCTGTAGGCGTTGGGGTAGGGACTTGACTTGGAGGAACTACAGGTGGAATATTAGCAGTTGGAGGTACTACTTGTGGTTGAGGCGTTACCTCTGCTGATCTTGTTATATTACTCCACGCTTCAGACCCACCAAACGATCTAATAGAGAGAAGATCACTAGCGACAATAAAGCTACCATTTGGTCCTGGAATGACGACAAATGTTCTGTCGAAACTTTTTGTACTTAATGCAATTTTTTTGTGTTTTTGGGAGCCATAACGATTTCTTGGCTGACCTTGATTTCCCAGAACCGCTTCATTATTATCTGGGATTGCTGTTTCTTCAAACGAACCGTGTAAAGTAATTATTATACCGTTCAATTGTGGGAATCTATGACTTTCCATACTAAAAAGTTGTGGTTGGGAAAGTAAATCATGACGGGTTTTGGGTAATTGTGAAAACAACTTGAATATTTGCTCCTGGCCTTGAGCAACACGACTAGCCCTTGATTTCACAGAGGATACTCTTGTCAAGTTACGAGATTGAGGTAAGTAGTAGCCAAAATCTGTAGAACTGTTATAACCCCCCGTTGTATTCGTGTCCATGACATAGGGGTGAGATGAGTCAACTTGCATTGAGAATTGAGAGTTCTCCTGATATAAAACCAATAAGTCTTGTCTATTGCTGTCCCATAATTTGTAAAAATTTGTAATGAAATTCGTCGACATATTTTGTACTTCTTCATCTTGGAAAAACATTGATTGAGACGATTCAAAAGGAAATGTAAGGTTACTAAGTAGCAATTGTTCATTTCTGACTATCTCGCCGTTCAACACAATAAGTCTTGGGAATGATTTCATCAATTCGATCTTGATATTTAAAACATCATTTGGATTTGCTTGGTTGTTAAAAAGTGGATTACCTATGATTATCAATTCCCTCAAGAAATTTAATTTGTGCCTCCAAGTCTCAAACAGCTTTAAACGATTGAAGTTGTTGTTCAGTAATGACAAGTTTTGTAATAATGGAAAGGTTTGTGCTAAAGTAGAGATTGTACTGATATCAGTTAGATTATTGCCTGATAAATCAACACTATTTACATCTAGCTTTAATTCTTTTGCAATTTTCATTAAAGCAGGGAAAAACTTGGATGTGGTCGATATGGAGGCAAAGAAACCCTTTGAAGCCAAATTAGCATCTTGCTGCACGCTACTTAAATTCAACATTTTAATCTCCGGTTGATATCTGGTCTTCAAAAACAGAGTGATAGTTTCAATAGTAGAGCCACCACTGTTACCAACTGGTGCTCTCATTTGTGACGACATGGAGTCGGCTGCCGTAGCTTTTGTAATTTTCAATGACTGTCCTGCGAATTTCACACCAGACCAAGTACATAATTCATCTGCTTCCTTGGGGCTTTTCACGTAACCCTTTAAAACTCCTGTAGCTGGATCAACGCTAGAGTTACTCACAACTATTCTACACTTCCTCGAAATGAATTTAATGCACTCATCTGGGGTAGCACCGTTCCAGCCTAAAATTTCAACTGGAATTGAGTTTGCTGAGACAAATTGATCGACATTTTGCTGGTTGAAGTTACTTCTGTTATTATTGTTGTTATTATTATTATTGTGGAATCCACCTCTACCTCTTCCCCGGTAACTCATTCTGTAGATATATATGAGAGATGAGTTTGTTTAACTTCAAATACATCTATTACATCAAATCGACATTTTCACATCGAAATATTGATTTTAGTACACGACCTATGTTATACCATATATATTCACTATACACTAATAATCAAGTGTTTTCTGTTGGAAAGGCTAGTGATTTGGTCCATAGGAGTCTCTCTAACCAATAAATCATACACAGTAACCAGAACAATTCGAAAACTAAATCACACTGTGTCGTTTTCATGGAGCGTACCCACCACAGGATATTTATTTTCAAAATGCTCTTCCCAGCTGTCTAAGGATTCTATCTCGTCGCTAGTCAAGTTATCTAAAGTATCAATTGGCTGGTCTACAGGTGTCAAGCAATCTAACTCAAACGAATTTTTGGATAATCCACGAGAAGCGTCTCTACCTGCAAAGTTCTCGTAAGGTCCACCAGGACCATAAAACGCTGCTCCCATCGTCACATTAAACACTCTATTTCTAACAGCGATGAATATCTTAGGATCGTCACTACCATTGTATTTCGCCAAACTTACGGGGGTAAATTTACCTTCAACAATAGTTTCTGCTGTCTCACCTTTATCCGGGTTGGAAATCTCAATCCCCGAAAACACATTTCTTAACAAATATGCAACAAATAAGATCACTAGAATTGTAGCTATCATGATGTTTTTGACTTCTAACACTTATGTATTTATATGTTGCTTTTCCTGGTTGTTTAAGTTGACTTTTTGGTTAACTACTTCGTACCAGATCCACAAATATCCATCACGTGTTTCTTGGGGCCGTAGTATGATCCCCCCAGTTTTCATTGACACATGAAGAAAACCATCTATATACCGTTTAGTTATGAACATCTATTTGCTTTGGAAGAGAAATCATTTCTTTGCAGTTGGTGACTCTCGTAGGTGGAAAGCATTGTCCATAATCTATAAAATCTGAAATTTTGTGAACTTCAATATTTCACACTTTTACTATAATGTCCTAAATACAATAATACAACGTCACATAATCATCATGGTATCAACCATGCTAGAACAACCCCTCATATGACCTTCTACATACCATAAATGGTAGCAATTATCGGAATTTTTAGCCATTCATGGCAATTTGCAATCAATAGTCATGTGACTCTTAGGTATGGTGAAAAATATCGAAATGGTGAAGAAACCATTTGGTATGACAATAAAGAGGTCAATATACTACAATGCCGAGAGATATCATATCGTTGGATGACTTGACGTCAAATAACATCGGAGTATTTAAAAAGATAAATGAAGTGAGTTTACCAACAACTTATCCTGAGTCATGGTATAAGGACTCGTTAAATAGTGATCAAATCGTGAAGTTGGCATTTTATTCAGAATTACCTGTCGGAGCAGTCAAAGGTAAAGCCATTATTACGTCGCACAAAACTGATAGCTATGAAGCGAGCCAACAGCTGCAATTACCATCGGAGTCTATTCCCAATGCAGTCTATTTAGAAAGCTTTGCTGTCTTAAAAGCCTATAGGAACTTGGGTATCGGTGCCAAACTCTTAGAATATGTGATTGCAGAAACTAAAAGAAGATTTATACACGAAATCATGTTGCATGTTCATGTAGAGAATTCCCAGGTAATTGAGTGGTACTTGAAACATGGTTTCATTAAGAACGGTGAGGTTAAGGATTATTATAAAGAACAAGGTTTATCGAACCCCGATGCGGTAATATTGTCCATTAAAGTTTAAGTATTAGACTTTCATTTATATTTAAATTTTATAAAAACTTATATATTAATATACGAATTATATAGTACAAGCTTAATTATCACCTTCATCTTCAGTATCGGTGTTGATATCAGTGAAAACACTTTCAGTATCGCTTTCATCTGATACATCGGCTGATTCAACTTCTTTTATTTCAGACTTCTTGACATTACCACCTCTGAAAGCTGCTAATGCACCAGCAATTGTGTCTTCTTCTGGATCGGAAATATCACTTTCATCATCAGATTCAACATCTTGATTAGTCTTTCTGGTTAACACCATTGGAGCGGCCTTAACTTTCATGACAACTGGAATATCCACATCACTTCCAAAGTAAGCGTTATTCTTCAATATTAATCTGTAATGTGTTTTACCTTCGTTTGCCGGGGCAGGGCCATTCATTGGGATCTTGAATGAACTCACTATAACATTATCCTTGCCATCGATCCATTTTTCTTGGGTAAGCTCAAGGTTACTTAAATCAATATGACTTAAAGTTGAGGCTTCAGTACCTTCTACTAATTTATTGTCCTTTTGAGCAATTAAAAACCCAGTCCAAGAATTGCCGATACTCTTTGGAAAATATGGAGCATAAGAATACGGCAAAGCTGGTTGTTCTTCATTTGATTTCAAAGGATTCTTAAGATATTCTAAGGTTTCCTCATCTTTTAAGCTTTCTTCCGGGATTTCAGGACATGATTTAAGCTTTGGTGATTTTACTAAAAATTTCACATATAAATGTGCATTTGACAAAGGTGGTACAACATCTTCACCAGGCACTTTAAATCCGGCATCAATTACTCGAAGAAATGGAATGTGTGCAGCAACATTCATAGTTGTTTTTAACTTTTCAGCATCTTCAATACCTAAGGTTTTCGACAATTCTTCCTTTGACAATGTAAACAATTTTCCTAATTTCTTAACTGGTTGGTTTTCAACCACCTTTTCATCAACATATGGTAATTGCAATAATTCCTGGTATTTACCAACTGGTTTAACTGCTTGTATAACGGATTTACGTAAATCACAGGCTGTTATTAAAATATCCACTTGTCTGAATACAGTTGCAATATCAATTAAGCCATTAATTAATGTAGGCAAAATTGCAACAATTTTCAATTTGTCCATTTCAAAACTTG